TAAAGAAGAACCCGTCCAGAGGACCTATACAATTTTTTTCCTTTTGATTTTTTACCTGGATTGCTGAGATGCATCAGGAAATCCGCTTATGAATTATAATAATTAGCAAGTCCGCTAAAGCGCAAATGAAATATTTAGGTCCGCAATTAGCGGATTTGCGCTTTAGCGGGCTTGTGTCCACCACTGCTAACGCACCATGTAAAGCTAAACATATTAAGCTTTCAGACGAAAACTTTTGAACCAGCAGATGAAGCAAAAACTATATTTGTGTTGCAGATCTGGTGTCAGCCACCAACACCACCAATGTAAACATCCCTCAGATGGCCGACACGCTGTTCGAGCGATCTACCAATGCCAGCTGGGTGGTCGTCTTCAAGGCTCTTGTCACCACTCATCACATATGTGTCCACGGCAACGAGGTTAGTGAGTGTCGCACAGAACCTGCACGTGTGGAGCACACAAATCCCACAATGCAGGATGAAAAATACTGAAAAATTACTCTTTAATCCAAATGAGTACCCGTCTTAACAGCTTGAGGTCACAAAAAGACAACATTACGTCATACCAAGTCAATTATCAATGCAATTTTAAGTATTTTAGTAGTTTTGCATGTTATTTACCCTCACCCTGGCTTTGTTTTTTGTGCAGCACACAGTAAAATGCATCAGAAGTTACCTCCAATTTACACTGCGTGTGGAAGCACAGAAGTGCTGTGAGAATTATGCGCAGGAAATGCGAGATCGTGCAGGAAAGCCAGTGATAGATGTTGAAGTCCAAAACAACTCATTCTATGGAATATGGACTTGAAACAACAGTTGAAACAGCATCGCTGTTGTCTTTTTTCGAATCCTTATTTTAGAATAAAACCCACGCTTTGTGTGTATGCATACTGTATGTTGCACACTGCATGTTGCCATCTGCTTGTAAAACAGCATAATTGATTGACTGATTTATTGATTTATGTAAATTCCCTCTGGGATCAATAAAGTATTTTTGAATTTAATTGAATTGAATTGACAGCATTTGTGTATGAATATAGACATATATTTATTTATATACCGTAGCTAGGACTTCAACAAAATATGGTGAATTATTTTGAAAATACAGATGTTGTGCTCGTTCATTTTCCCGCAGTGGGATCTTTGTAGGTTGACTCCGCACTTGTTCCGCCATCCGGCAAAAATAAGATTCAATTCAATTTGGGCACACGCCATTGCCTTGCAGATGGATAAAATGCTCTTGTTGATTATATTGGGTGTGTTTTCACTCCTGGGTTCCTGCTGGAGCGGGCGCAGTGTAAATTGGGGGTTACACTCTATGAATATGCTTTAAAATGACACTGTGTAGGTCCTGAATTATAATGTATTTTTGACCACTTTAGAGATCTTAAATTGTTCTTTTGTGAGCGATTTGGGCTTGCCTTCGACGGGTAATCCTGGAGTCGCCCTCCAGGGGCACCACCAAGAGTGACTGTTTCCTTTAATCCCGTACTGCAGTATTTCAGCTGTTCCTAGTCTTTTTTTTTGTTTTGAGGAATGGTTTTACTTTAGCCTGGTTCAAACCAGATCCTGTCCATCACTTTGCTTCGTACAAGGGTCTGGACTTGATGCATAGAGAATCGATTTCCTGCAGGAGGCGTGGCCTCTGCTGAAGCATGTATGTGTTGTCGCTGTGAAGGAGGCTAAGCTAAGAAGCTAACAGGAAATCGYGTGTGCTGTAAACAACCCTACTGAGAGGAGAAATATACCAAGCCAAACGAGATGACTGTAAATGAGAGCTGCTGCTTTGTCAGACAAATTTATTTTAATTTGGAAGCCTTATCAACACAGACTGGCTTCATTCACTTCCTCCACTGCCGTATGCTAAAATAACTAGCAGACACTGCGCAGAAAATCGACGTCGTTCAGAACTCCGCCTTCTGTTTGCTGATTGGCCCAGGTAAAATAAACTACAAGAGACACTGCTCAGAAAATTGACATTCTCTTCTCTGATTGGCCTGGCTAAAGATCTGCCAGGGAAATCCTTGTCAATGGGAAGAAATCCCAGATGGAGCAGAGAAAGGAAACTAGAATTGAGTGGAACTGCGTATGAAGACAAGGGCCAGGCTAGTTTTACTTTGATGTGCCACCCAAAGCTTATCAGTGGCCACCATCTGACCTCATTTAGAAACTTTCTAGGGGCACCTCTGTTGCTCAGTCACTTAGATACAAAAACAGATTGTATGTTCTGCAAAAACTGTGATAAAGGAGAAAATATTTACAAATAAAGAAGTGTGGTATATCTGTGAACGTTTGAATGTTTAAAATGTATATCTTTTATTTCAACATGACTGTTATGTTTTTGGTCACTTTCTCAGAGGTTCATTCAGTACCTGGCGTCCAGGACCTCCCTGTTCAACCTCAGCAATTTCATTGACAAAACCGGCTCTCACGGTGAGATAAAACTGCAGACATGTTTATTATTATTGCATCTATTGTATGGATGACAGGATACACACAAATAGGAACATGTTGTAAATCCAGATCTCCCAAGACTTATTATGTGAATAAAACAAACTCACATCTATCGAGCTAAAATGAACTGCTCTGCAAGCTGGAGAGAGGCGGGGTTTAAAGTGCCTCAATTTGATTTAAAGGAACAGCCTCAAAACGAGTTGATCTGAGAAACACCTCAGAAAAGGGGTGAATGAGGGGCTTGTAAAGTTACAATAAGGAGGAATTCAGACCAATGCATTGCAGTTCCACTTAATGTAGACCCCAACTGAATGATTTAAACGTGAAAAAGGATTTAAAAGCAGGATATGTGACACAGTCAGAATTTGTCACCTGGCATGAATGACCATTTTGACACTAAAAATAAAAAATAAAAAAAAGATTATTTCAAGCAAAATCAGCTTTGTTTTGCCTGTCCTGATTTTACTCTCAATCTGTTTAGGTTATGACATGTCTACATTCATCAGGCGGTATGCACGGTACCTGAATGAGAAAGCCTTCGCCTACCGCCAAATGGCTTTTGACTTCACCAGAGTCAAGAAAGGGTAAATAAACACACACCATCTTATACTATTCCCTTAAAGCTCAGCCATTCACTATTAATTCGGTTGTAATCTGTTAGCACAATATGTTATTTTGAGTGAAATACGCTCTGTGTTGTATCTTCTCAGTGCTGAGGGAGTGATGAGAACCATGACCACTGAGAAGCTGCTGAAAGGCATGCCTGTCCTGCAGACCCAGATTGATACTCTCCTGGAGTTTGATGTGCGTCTTTACTTTGATTCACCACATTTTCCTCCAAAAGTTTCCGTTTTGACAACCAAAACTAACGTCTTTCACTGTCCCACCTCCTCTCAGGTACACCCAAAGGAGCTGAACAATGGGATCATCAACGCTGCCTTCATGCTTCTCTTCAAAGATCTGGTCAAACTGTTTGCCTCCTACAATGACGGAATCATCAACCTGTTAGGTTAGTCCACGGTCAATACCGTAAATAAAGATGCACTATTACCTGCTCGTGTGTGAACTGGTTTCTCTTGTGCTCAGAAAAATTCTTCAAGATGAAAAAAAGCGACTGTAAGGAGGCCTTGGAGATCTATAAGAGGTTTCTGACCCGGGTGACAAAAATTGGGGAGTTCATGAAGCTGGCTGAGGTAAACTATTCTGCATCGAGCATCGACAGATTATTTCTGTGTTCATTACATCTAATTATTATAATTATTAATTATTTTTACTTCAACAGACAGTTGGAGTGGACAAAAACGACATTCCTGACATCAACTATGTAAGTTATATTTAACTGTGACAATTGGTTATTCATGTTTGATTCCTTGGATGTGTTAGGACCAAGAATATGAAGCAAATAAAAGCCTTAAAGTGCCTGTGACACGAAATATTTGAAATTAATATAAAGGCATTATTGGAAAGATAACATTAAAAGCATATTGCTGAAACAATTTCCTGCTGCTGAGATGAACATTTGTTGAGATATTTGCATGGGAAGCAACAGGAAGTGATGTCAAAGGGGAATATCTGCATTGAACAAAGCAGTGATAAAATAGCTAACGACACAGACCGTAGAGAAAAGTCTGATGTTTCTTTAGATTATTTTGAGTCTCTTTCAGAGAGAAATGAAGATGAGACAGAGTTCAAATAATATTTTCAATGATCAAAGATTACAGAGTTCTCTTTTTTAAAAAGTTCCCCTTTGATGTCACTTCCTGTTGCACTTTGGCTGATCCAAGTTCAAAAGAAAATATGCCATTTCTGTAACAAAATGGGTAAAATCACGTGTTTTATGCAAGGTTTCCAATATAAAAATTTGTTTTCTTTGACTTCTTGTATTCGATGGATAGGCGTGTCACAGGCACTTCAAATTCATCTTTACACACACACACAAACACACACAGAAAACAGTGTCTCACCCACCACCATCTTCCCGCTCAGTGTCTCCACCCGGGGGTAGTGGCAGATCTAGCTGACTCAGATGATGAAGACTGTCCCTTTAAACCCCTCGAGGACCCGGTAACCACAGAAACAAGGGGTGCCCTGGCTGAGTGCCTGTTTAACTACAGGATGACGTGTYGCCATGTTGTGTTGAGCCTAGTTTAATTTGACAGAATAAACGTGTGTTTTTTTTTTTTTTGTGCATGTGAGTCTTGCAGTGAAAGTTCCCACCTTCTCTGTGATTGAAATGTAAAAACTTAAGCTACAAGCACCCATAAGGATAATAATAATAATCTCCAAGGAGCTATTGATCTGTGACTCCAGGTTGTGATTTATTGTCAGGCTCCCAGCAGTATCCTGGAGTCTCTGGAAACACACATGAACGGTCTGGAGGATGAAAAACGTGGAAAGAAGGGGTATGTTGTTAGATTGTTTTCCTTGAAATGCTTTTGTTCTAAGAAAAAATATTTAAATCAAAAGTGTTGTGCCCCCTTCCTTTTTTATTTTACAACTCATGTCTTTTTTTAATTTGACAGTAATAATTCTGATGGCAGCAGCATTCAGTGGGGTTCTGTTAAAAGGGTTTGAACAATTAATGTCTTACCTGTCGTACATAGGTTTTTATACGCCCTCGGATGGAGAAATAGATAATTTCTGATTATACCAAAGAGCTAACGTTTAAATAAAATGGATTGCTGCCTTTTTAAAACACTTTTTTTCAAATATCTCATAGCAGTTCATATAAACACTGTTTTATAAACCTTTACACTGCTGTCAGTTTTGCATTACATGGTCATTTACACGATTTTTTAATTTTTATTTTTTTTGCTAAATCAAATAAAAAACAACTACAGCTAGCCGTAGCACTCCAGCAAGAATATCATATTTCTACCAGAATATCCACATAATGCAGAATTGATGATAATGTAAAAGTTTAAATTGAAAAGATTCACTGGATTTTTTAAATTACTTTGATATAAATCCCAGGGAGCTCTAGAATGTGTCCTGAAATGAACCCCAAACACAGCACAGCTCTCATGCTTTGGATAAATTATATTAGTGTCTGTAGCTTTAATAAAATGAGCTGCCAGTGCTTCATTCTGGCAGAATGGTAAATCTTCTGTGGCAAAAAGAAGGAAGGAAAAAAAGAACTGGACAGTGCCTGCGGGGGGCATGAATGAATAAGTGTCCAGTTTTAACATCTGTCTTACTGACGCTAATATAGCTTTGCTAAGACACTTATTCTTGGTATCAGCCGAGTGTTTGTTGCCCACTCACTTGCTTTATAATAAAAGAAGGTGAGGAAATGTCATTTTGTATAATAAACTAAATGCAATGTTGGGAGAAACAAAAAAATATATAACTTCCTTTAACCCGTCCTTTCTTTTATTCTCTTTTGTGTTGATTTGGAAACACCAGTGAAGGGTGAGCACATGTTGTACATTTTGTGTTAAGCTTTCTGCTTAAAAAAAATCAATGTAGATGTCTTTTACTGTCACCCCCAACACACCAAAAAGTACATTTATGCATTATTCACATGTGAATCATGTACTTTACGTGTATTTTATGTGCTTGTATTAACGTTTGATGCAACTCATGCATGCTTTTAGCTTTGAAGATTTGCTCTGCATCAGCATTTTCAAAAGTTGTGAATAATTATGTAAAGTCACTGATAGACATGAAGGCAAAAAACAAAAGTCAAAGAAGTAACCTTGAAGTAAAGTTTATTTTCTGTGTAAGAAAGAAAAGAGTGTGGTARATACTTTGAAGTCTTTCCTTTCAGGGAGTTCAGGTGCACTAARTTGATTCACATGTGGAAATGCATGGACTGGTGATGTGATTACATGTGTGATCTTTGACACATGTTTTGTAACATTAAGTCACTGTTCTGACTTGTGAAATGTGAATCAATACATGAAGGGTTTATCCCCAAACGTCACTGTTTTGATTAGTGTTTTTTTTTTTGTGTGTGTGTGTATGTTTGTTATTACTATGCCCATTTTTGATCCGTCTTATCAAATTGGAAATCAACTCTTCATGTGATCACATGTGCTGTCATTTATATTTGATATTTGTTTGGTCTCCTGAGAGAAACGACCCATCTGTCTTAGTCTGTGTCAAACAGAGCAGTTTATTTTCAACACACGTCTGACCGTCTCTCCTTCTTTCACACTTGCAGGTCTCCAACAAAGGTGAGGTGCACAAATAAAACGTTTTTGTCATTCTTTATGGTCATTTTTGTTCAATACACCAAATTAAAGAGGGACATGTTCTTTCCAGGGGTCTCCAACAAACAATGTGTCTCCGACATCGACCCCCGCCAAATCTACCAACGCTGTCCCCACGCTGCAGCCTCCGCCTGGGGACGGTGCTGCCGCCGCTGGTGCTGCTGCCCCTGAACCAGCTGAAGAGTACGTTCTTCTTAACGCCCTTTCAGTTCCTTACCTATTGTTTTATTTAGCACGAGTTGGTAAAGTTCAAAGCAAAATTATCGATGCCTCAAATGGTACAAATACTGAACACAAATACAAATGTATAAGTTGCAAATATGACTATTAGGACAAAAGTTAGTTTATTTTTAATAATTTTAGCAACTTTACGAAGTGGTATTTTTTATCTATGCACTATAAAATGATGACAAAATGTAATCACACATTAAATAGAGGTTACATGTTGACACCTTCCTACAATAAATATCTAAGTATTATTTTTCAAAAAATGTCAAATGGTATACACTTTTGGCCTGAAAAAAACAAAAAAAAAATTACACACAAAAATGAATTATTTTAGAAAGGTTTTCATAAAAGCGTATAAAACAGTGACCCTTATGATGTACTTTTCTAGTTCTCTGTTGGACCTGGATCCTCTGGCCTCCTCTGGTCCCTCGGCACCATCAGCTGCTCCGACATCTTGGGGAGGTCAGTAGACCATTCATCTCAAATCTGCTCTTGGTTCATCTGAGTCCAAGTATGAAAAAGTGAAATCTGCTTGCTGTTTTCACCAGTTTAAATGAACTAGAGTCGAATAATCAACTATTTGAGAACGTCAGCAAAGTGTTTTGGATCATATCAGAAACTTCTCACCACAGATTTATTCTAAACGTTGTTCCTGTTCTGTTTTTCTGCTTCCGTAGATCTTCTTGGATCAGGTAGGCCTCTCCTCCGCCTTCATTTCACCTTTAAGTTCTAGAATAGCTTTGTTTTAAAACTCTCTACCTAATTTGAAGTGACTCAGTGTCACAGTAGTAATGTTTGAATTGAAGCGAAGCTTTAAATTAGAGTGTAGAGTAGAAGTGTTGAACGGTTGCCTCCCTGTTTGTCTCCTCGAGCTATTCTCTGTAGTCTGAGTTCTCTCTTTGTTTTTCTCTATCTTTTCCTTCCCCTCCCTCCACATTCTCCATTGTCTGTTTTTGGTTTATGACGGGGGCTACTTTCAAAATTTATTTATTTATTTTTATTGGTTATGACTGGGTGGTATTGGATCCTTTTGCGACTTTAATTTGTGTTTTTGGCGGTCACTTCCAAATGATCTTGAATGGTTTTGGTTTGACTGGAATTTTGTTTTGGCTCTCTCTTTCCCCCCGTCACATCGGTGACTCCTCTGGTTATTTTGGTTCCTCCCCCTCCTCTCCTTTGTGGTTTATTTTGCTGCCTTTTACTTGGGAATTTCGAACAACCCATTGGCAGAAATGGGCGACTCCTTGCTATCTGAACCCCCACTCACCGCAGAGCCTGCCCCCTCCTCTGCAGCAGCAACGCCCACTCCTGCAGCGGCAGAACCCGGAGGCTCTCTAGCTCCTCCCACTAGCACAGCAGCCGCCACTTCTCCCGGCGCCGCCAATACGGATCTGTTGGGAGGTCAGTGGGCTTCCAGAAAATTCTCTACAAAAGGAATCACTCTGGGAAGCTCAGCCTTAAAGTTCACCTCACAACATTATAACACAGATGAATACATATTCAGACAGAGAAGGCTAACATTCTTTACTCACCACAAAAATAATCATAATCAGTTGCATGACTCACCCATTTTCAGTGAAAAATTGGTTCAAAACTGTAAACTTGCGAATTATTTATTAACTACATGCTAAAAAATGATAGACAAACATAATAATAATACCAGTCTCTGCAGAATATGAATAATATTTCAGTATTACTTGTTTCCACTACTCTGGATACTTTTATAGCAAATAATTTATATCCTTGTTTTGAAAAAGTACTTTCTTCTACATCAATCCAACAAAAACTCGTAGCAACAGGTGCGGGCCAGATTTGGCAGTAATGGTACTGTTTTTAAGATAACATGCAACAACAGGCCCTGTTGAGAAATGTTTATTGTTATGTGTCTCTAATCTATCAATGCCCCAACTGAGATGGTTGTGTTTAGGTTTCTCTGGCCCAAATATGTCACTGTCACAGATGGCTCAGTTGTGATTTAGTCTATGCGGACCATATTGGTCAATGCCACAACTGGTTCAGTTGTGATTTGGTTTATGTGGCACAAATTCATCAATACCCTAACCATCACAGTTGTGGTTTAGTTTATGTGACCCAAATCTGTCAGTGCCATAACTGGCCCAGTTATTGTTGACATATTTGGGCCACATAAACCAAACCACAACCGGGCCAATTGGGGCATTGATAGATTTGGTTTATGGCGTTGGTTTGGTTTATGTGGCCAAAATCTGTCAATGTCACAACTGTGCCAGTTGTGGTTTGGTTGATGTGGTGCTGACCCATGCATGGAMCAAATCACATCTTGGCCACAAAAGGACTGTCATTCTTTGTGGTATCTGGGTTGAGTGTTAATGGATTTTGTGGGCTAGAAACAGGCCAAACATGTTTTGCTGTGTGGGTACGTATATGACACCACCAGGTGTTGAAAATGTTCACTTTATTGACATAAAATACAGAGAAAGAACGTTCTTAGCTTGGCTAAAGATTCTCATAAAACTTTGATGTCCAATACTTTTTTATGCCTTTTACAAAGGTCTTTCATTCARCATCCATTTTAGTACACCTTCAACGTTTTATAATAACAATCAGGATAAAGYGAGACAGACAATCTAGTATAAAACGCCTCCATTGATGTCTGGGTTTCTATAGAGCACAGTGTGACAGATGGATACACCAAGAAGGAGTTTTAAAAACTCTTTTGTTTGGAAACAGATTTTATAAATACATTTTCTTCTCACCAAAAACTAATTTTGTGTTGACAAGTGGTGCAAACCCAGCAGTTTTTAAAAATATCCAGAGTAGTGTAGACAGGCCCCAACTTTACTATTAAGTAATCTTTCCTATGCTCATATTTACCTTCAAAATCATTTTAGAAACACTCAACATGTACCCATGAACATATAAACATTTTCCACAYGCTTCTTGTTTGATAGGCTGGCATGCTTTGCTTTGGCCTTGAGAAAAAGCAATGCTATCAAACGCTACAACATGGCCACGACCACAGCTGGCACCTGTAACATTTATGGATAGCTGGCTTAGTCTGCTCTTTGTGCTTTAGATTARTCCTGTTGTATAGTGCCTCCAGTCTGTATACCCATTTGTCCATTCACCTGTCCGTCATTGATGTTCTGTAACAATGCCGTAAGTTACTGTTTATCACAGGCGAATACAAACAAGTGCTGATTAAATGTCATGCTCAAAAGCTCTGTGTTCTTACTTCTTTTGTATTTCTTGATTATTTTCCTTTTCTTCTGTCGCCTTTATGCCTTTCTTTTTTTTCCCGGCTTTTCCATCCTGGCGTTTTGCGTGAACTTCAGACGCCTTTGCAACACCTGCTCCTGCCGCCGAGGCCACTGCTGCAGCAGCAGAGGGTGGGGCTGCTGCTACGTCCACCCCAGCCGCAAGCGCTGGAGCTGGTGGGTGACCAAAGATCTGTCTGTGTGTCTGCTTATTAGAAGGCGTGAATGTGTTTGGGAGGGTTTCTGGTCTCGTTTGTCTCTGCGACGGACTCGCAAGCTGTCGAGGGTGTGCCTCCGTCTCTAAGAGTGACTGCTGGAGACAGACAGTGTGAGCCAGAAAGGAAAAAAAAGTGGGTAAAGAGAATGAATGGTTGGACAAATGTGTTTAAGTGAAGGTCTTTTTTTCCCTTCTCCTCTAATGTTTCTTACGCTTCACCTTCGGTTTCTTCTTCTATGTTATAACATGTGAGAAACAATCAAAATAAAACAGAAAAATACTCTTTAGCTGACGAAACGGTACTCTGTGTACATGTTTGTGTTCACTGTTTGTCTTGAATTTTCATAAAAGAACAATTGGGGATAGAGTCACTGTTCTTTACCGCCTCTGTTTCATAGAACTCACAGCCAATAATGTGGTCCATGTTTTGTCCTTTGGTATCAGAAACTTAGCTTTCTTTGTTGGAGTCAACGCATTTTAATATTCCATATTTTTGAACTTAAGTTGTGGTTTGATGTGAAGGTTTATTCTGTGAAAGTGTTTTTTACGTGTTCCAGCTGTCATTTCCTCCCTATTAATGCTATTTTAGGGTAAATGGTTCTACTTAAGCAGGAGCGTTTTGGAGACCTGCGCACTTTCTTATTAAGTCATTTGTCTTTTATTTCTCCTCCTCTGGCAACAGTATTATTTTTACCCCTAACATCATATAGTATAGAACTGTGCAAACACAGCAAAGGAAAATTGCTTAAATAATACAATGAAAATAAGAAAAATAATAATACAAAGTGCTATGAATTAATGTAATTTAATGGTTATTTTGTGTAATTTCACATTTTGGTAAGTAATATTGGGAATTTTCCAGGTTGTCTGAAACTTCTGCACCACAGTCAGCAAAAGTCACGTTTTGTGTCCAAGTCCTTGTCTAACCCCCCTCCCTTCCATGTGCTATATTTTACTCCCACCCCAACACCCCCCCACTTCTGCCCAAAAGACCCTTTCGCTCCTTCAGACAGTAGTGCCAACGCAGCCTCTTCGGGTCTCGATCTCTTCGGCACGATGCCCGTGGAGGGCAGTAGTTCACTGGACGCCTGTTTCAGTTCTGGGCTGCCCCAGGCCCCCTCCTCCCCTTCCCCCTCACCGCTCTTTACCTCCACATCCTCCACCGTCACCGGCGCTGCGGCCGCTTCAGGCTCCAGCACCACCAGCCCTGCGACCGATCTCTTCAGCGGTAAAGAGATGTGTGTCATTCTGCATTCCTATCATCGTCCTTCCTTAATATATTTGCATCTTTCTGGCTTTCTGGATTAATGCTGCCTGAACACGCCTCTCCCACTGGTGTAACTTGATTCTTGCTTTTTGCATTTGTTTGTGAGATGGCTGTTTTTGAGCCTTATGATAATTTTAAAGGATTTGATCATATTGTTTTTTTGGGGGGGGTGTGCATGTATTTTTAGATATTTTTGACTCTGGCTTCTCCACGGACGCTTCTCCCAGCGCTGACTTGTTTTCAGCAGGTACTCTGAATGCACTCGGTTTCCCATCTTGCGTGCGTCTTCTTCTACTCTGTCCAGCCCTGTCTGCCTTTAAGTTTTGTCCTTGGCTACGATCAGCGAACAGAAAAAAAAAAAGGATAAAATGAGATTGCTCTCTCGCAGGTCAGCTAAAAGCTATTGAGCTGTCTGAAACGTTTACTAAATGACTCTTAACTCCTTTCGCATTCCAGCATGTACTGCAACTGCAACTGGTGGTGCATTATAATGAATCACTGTTATAGTCTGAGTGCTTTTTTTTTAAAACGTGTTGAACTCACGACATCATCTCTACCTTGCCTTCTCCAGCGGATGTGTTCAGCTCTCCTGCGCCCAATGGCACTTCAGCACCCCCACCCAAAATTGACACAGGAGCCATCATGAGCTTGTTTGGTGGTGGGTAACTCCAGCTGATTGCCTGGCCTCTTGATCTGTTCCTGGTTCTAGAAATAAACACTTAAACGTGTGAAATGTAACCACTGGTGTTTCTTTTAAAATCATCATTTGCAGCTTCTGTGCTTCTCTGGAACCAGTGAAAATGTTCAAATGGAGCTCGGTCATGTTGAAAAACTCACTTCGTTTATAAAATAGAAGTGATGACTTTGGTTGAAAAGTTGTATTGTCTGAAACAAAAGTGTTTAGTCATCTAAAATAAAACCTCCCTCAATGAAAATCTAAATATGCAGCTACAAACATTATTTTTTGAAAAAAGAAGTAATACAAAAACAAAAACAAAAAATCTATGGTTAGGCAGATTGTTGCTCTGATGCACATCTTTACTGAGCTTCAGGGTCACCAGCAAGTTTGTTTTGTTCCATATGAATGTTTTTTTGTTGTTGCCTTTTTCATTTAAAAAAATCACATTTAAATTTAAAAAGTAAAAAACTAAAGCTAATTTTTTTTGTTTCAAAGTTAACTATTGGTCATTAGACGTTTGCATTAAGTATGACACAATGTCACAGGTCAGTTTTAATAAAATCGACCTATGGGCCAGATGAAATATCTGGCCCGTGGACATTGGCTAGATTTGCACAGCTGGACTTTATTATGATGATCACGTTTCATAAAAAAACATTTATTATTTTTATTATGATTAAAGAGTTCCTTGCTTCAAAACAAACATGGATACTGACAGCTTAAAAAGTGTGTGTGCATTTTGAATTTATCAATGTTTTTCCTTCATTCAAGCAGTTTTCTAACCAAAACCGTTTTGTCTGAAATCACTAGTGTTGGAACAGAAGGCTGATTCTAACCCTTCTCTGCCCCCATGCTGCGATGGAAATGGCTGAACGTGTTTTGACCCKGTGTGGTCGCGTTTCCGTTGACCCGACACAGAGTCCTCAGGAGGAGACGCCCCGGCAGCTGCAGCTCCTGCTGCTCCGGGTTCTGAGCTGATGTCAGGTAAAAGCTGTGAAGCCCCGCCCTGCATGTGCACAAACAGAAGGCTGCTCACAATACAGATGTTTTAATGATTTTTAYACAGAAGGTGTAGATAATGGAGCACTGATCTAAGCTGGGACAATACTTCAGTTACACTATAGGGGGGCAACATTAAAAACTTGGTCCAAGCTTAGGGACAATTTCAGTCAATTTTTCCTAAAAAAAAAAAAATGTTATAAAAATAGAAGTTACCCTTTCCAAATTGTGTTTTATTCAGCTTTTAGTATCCTAACAGATAAAGAAAATAGAATAAATTTAGAAAGACACATGGTTATTATTCATTTCCTGCCTTTATCGCTCTAAGAAGCCTCTTGTTTTTGTTTGTCTGCCAGTGGTCTTGTGTGCAYGATGCCGTGTCATTATTATCCTAACATGAGTTTTTGAACACAAAGATGTCACTATTTAAATTAATGAAATAGTTTTTTTTACTTCAAACTGCACCTAATGAGACATACATTATTCTATTTTTGGTTCTGTGTCAGTAAAATAGTTAATTTTAAGAAATTTAAAATATGTCCATGATCATGTTAACATAATTTTTAGCCTCATTTGGGTACTATTTGTTTTGTTTTTCTCTTGTTGAATGGGGAATTCCTTCAGTGTGTTCCATAACTTCAGGTTATGCATCAAGTGGTGTTTACTGTGGCACCACAAGCCTCTGTTCACCTGAATCATGGTCCTCATGTTCTGCATCAGTAATTTCATATAGTAAAGATACTGCTGCTTTAAAGCTTAACTCTCTCTTTTCTTCCCTCTCTTCATTCATTCGCAAAACTTTAACGACGTTTTTGTCACCATTTAAAAACAAACCTCACTGCTTGATTTTTTTTCTCACTCTGGCATTTTCTGCTTTTTGCTATCCTCTGTTTTTCTCCTCCAATCTGCCCTGCTCTTTTTCTCCATCTGGCTCTTGGGCTGGCTCATTTCTTGCTTCCTGCCTTTTGATTGGGTGAGTTCCCCTTGCTCTTTTATTACGTTTTTTATTTTTATTTTTTCCCACACTGCACTGCATTGCAGTGGTGCAGCCACACTGCMCTGTCCCCTCTTCCCCACCAGATGCTTGATGATTACAGAGAGGATCTGGTTGGAATAGTCTCGTCATTTAGTGTAGCTTCAACGTGCAATCTGCCTTCATTCTAGCTGCTGTTTTTTTTCCACCCTCATTACTAATTTTGCTGCAGGGGTGCGATGGCCAGTTTGGTCTTGTTATCCTGAGGCTGCAGGTTCAAGTCCAGGTCTTGTCAGGAAAAGGCTAATTGCAAAATCTTTCATGCATGTTCGCTTGCTGTGGCAACCCAAGGGAGCAGCCGAAAGAAAAACAGCTAAAAATTTTGCAGCAACTTGCAAAAAAACTATAAGAAAATATTCAAATCTGTGTCACCCACTGAAACAATCGAATTCATTCAGATTCACGCTGAATATTCTAACAGTATATTAATCTTACAATGATCTAATTATTTGTTCCCATAAACTATCACATTATGTGACCCATCACATYGAAACGAGGATTAAGTCTAAAAGTTGTTTGTGGAGAAATAAGCAGACATAGTGTTTTGATTAAAATGCTTGCAGAAATTACATTTTGTCAAAATATAGCAAATAAATGTGTTATCCATATATTATTTCAGTGAACTATCTGAAATATTATCCTAAAATTTTTTTGAAGCACTTCTTTGAGCAGTAGCAACCAAAATCCCGATTTTGAGGAAAAACACCTTAAAATGTTGAGATTTTCCCTGTGAGCTATTAAAGCTTTTGCTTCTTTCCAGCTGGGAAATTTCAATATTCAATTACTATTTGAGGTTTATTTTCTTAAATGACATAAAACAATCCTCATTAAAATGACACAACATCAGGATTTAGACCAAATATACATGTATTATTGTAACCAACAAGAAAAATGAAGGCATATCTCTGGATCTACTTAATGATATCAGGATGATCTAAGCATCAAAATGTAACTTTTAAAACCAGCCAGTGGAAGCCAGCGCTAATCCAAAAATTAGCTCTGCAATTTCTAAAGTGCTTTTGAAAATATTTAGRTCCACAACYTCAAAAGMACAAGTTCAAYTTGACACTCACTAGCTGGCAATAATTCATGTACAATTTACACACAACACTGCCAACTAGCAGTGTATGAATTATTTTACCGCTTAATCCTACAACTGCCGATTGTTGGGGATGTGATTTCCTGAAACAGACATTTGGCTCATGATGTTAAAAATTAAAAAGTTGATGAGGATTGCTAGTTCGGCTGCTTCTTTGTCTTTTTCTTTTGTTTATTGTAGATTTTTCATTAAAGAAGCATCAATAAAGTAATTTTAAAACTGTTTATTGGAAAACTGAAGCGATGCACACATGACTGATTTGATTTGTGACGGGAAACGAAAGCACAGAGAACAGGAAACTATCTTCACTTCAAAATAAGAGCATGGATTTTAAAGTTTTCTATACTTTTGTTGTCGCTCCAGTTGACCACTAAATACTGTATCTGTCTTCATCAGCAAAACATCTTTAAATCATTTCTGCGTCACTTTAGCTAACCCCGCTGGCCGATTGCTTCGACCACTTACGTCAAGTATTGAGCTCCAGCGTTTAAACTTTTTTTTAAAGGAGCTCCGATTGTAAAGTAAAATAAATCAATACATACAAAATTTTAGTAAGGATTACAAACATTAACTGTTTTTGCCGGGACAGGGATTGTCGCCCGGTCACATAGTTCTAAACATTGCCTTCCTGCTATGTAAGCAGACACAAAGCATTGTGGGAAATGTCTGTAAAATGAGAACTGTGACCGACAGCAACAGTCAGCAAGGATGTATACCTTCCCAATAATTGTGTTTATCTGGGAGGGGTGCTGTTGGACAGATCACGTGTTGTGATTCATTGACAGCCATACCTTCCACTGTTCAAGATAATGATTGGTAGATAATTACTTATTAGCGGTACTGCATTTTAATTTTAGAAAGCGCAAATCTGCTTTTGAATTATAAAAATTAGTAAGACCRCCAAAGCACARATGAAATATTTAAGTCCGCAATTAGCGGAATTGTGCTTTAGTGGGCTGGTGCCCACCACTGCAGGAATCTGGAAATATGATTAAGTCATTATGACCAAATTTGACTTAATCCTCATTTTGATGTGATGGGTGACATATGACTGCTGAAATAAATAATATTACACYTTGTATTTTGCCTATGCAAGAGTCAGAAACTCTATAATTTCTCTGTTTTGTATTGATGACACCAAATCTCCAAATTGTCTACATTCCAGTGCTCTTCTCTCAGTTGTCATAGAGACATGTAATGGTTGTCATGGTAATCTCTACTAGTCAGATGTCCCGCTGAGTTGGGTAGTGTGAGGATGCTAACTTCCTTCCCTCCCTCTCCCTGCCGTAGTGTTTGATGGGCTAGGGGATGTAATGAAGCCCACTGTGACCCCTCAAGCAGGGGATGTTGACACCTCCATGGCTAACATTGCAAGTAGTAAGTAGTCATTTAGCTTCCTTTTGATGCTGGTGATGCTGACTTCAGTGTTGGACGTTTTAAGAAACACGTTTGTTCACTTTACGGAGGAGATTTAGAGACGTGCTGTGTAAAAGTTTCAGGTGTGCGTGAAAAAGTAGCTGTAGACGTGTTTTGACAAAGTAAAAATCGTATATTTCCATCAATTTAGAGTGATTAAGAAAAGTGGTCACAACGAATATCGACTTGATTTAGTTTTTTTAACCACACCTGCCTAGAACTTTTACACAATAACGCACAGTAATGTTGAGATTTRAGGCTTAGTCTTTATTAACTGAGTTTTATTGATGAGGATTTTTCCATCTTTATGCAAAGCTCATCAGTTTCCAGGTGAAACATTAAACCTGTCATCGCATTATAGTCTCTATTTATCTCCTCTGTGAAGCAAAACAAAGACCCAGATGTTTGCTGAAAATGTGAACGTGTAACTTGTGTGTTCCATCGCTGCACTGAATCACAAAGATGCAAATGAAAGCAATGATGTTGCAGAACGTGTTTCTCTTTCTCTCTCCTTTCTCGCCTAAGACCTCACAATGGGAACTGCAGCGGCCCCTCAGGTAGCTCCCCCCAGTTGGGGTGCTCCCATGGTAAATGTTGTCTGTGTCTTATAGCATGGAGTGGAGCCGCATGGCAGACAGGGTGCACCTGTAGCACCGGTTTCTAGAGCCTTCATTTTGTTCTCCAGTTTCCAGGCGTTATGGTTGACCTGCGACACTCACAGGATGAGGAACGCAGGAATACATGATGTCATATTCCTCACACCTCGTAACAAGTATACAAACCCCGAATTCATTGAAGTTGGGACGTTGTGTGTAAATAAAAACCAAATACAATGATTTGCAAATCTTTTTCAAACTATATTCAATTGACTACACTACGAGAACAAAACTTGATTGGTTCTTGGTAAATATTCGCTCATTTTGAATTTGATGCCTGTAACGTTCCAAAACTAGATACCGCATAGCGGTAACATAATGACCCCTGCACGCACAAATGCACCAGAACTCATAAGTCTTTATTCCTAATAAATATCATGCTACTAGGTGCATCCCAAAATTGTAGTGGTTTGGATGGGGGTCTTTTTTAGGGGTTGGTTAACYTGATGGATAGACCCTCATCAGAGCTAAACAGCCAACGAAAATCCGAAGCTCCTACGTTTAATAGTTTTTGAGCTATAACCATTTTTGTATGTCCAGATACCCCTTTTTCAGATAAAGTGGRGTCGTGGATAGAGCTTCATCAGAGCTAAACAACAAAAGAAATCTGAAGCTTCTACGTTGAACAGTTTCTGAGTTATAAGCATTTTTGCATGTCCATACACCCCCTTTTTGGATGGAGCCCCTCCTCAAATATGGGGTCTATCATGAAACCGTTGGCTGGCGCAGTGTAGGTCAGACTCATCTACAGTCCTGACWAATTTTATGTTGATCGGTGCAGCTGTTTTTGCGCTACGGTTGACCAAAAATCACTGGAAAAAAATGTATGAAAACAATATGACTCCCGCTTACGCTTCGCGTGCGGGGGTCATAATGATGGGACAGAGGTAACCTAAGACTGGGAAAGATGAGAAATGCTCAAAAAACACCTGCTTGGAGCTTTCCACAGGTGAACAGGTTAACTGGAAGTAGATGAGTTCCATGACAAAGCATCCCCGAAAGGCTCAGTCGTTCACAGGCAAAGATGGGGTGAGGTTCAATTCAGTCCATAATATTATCAAAAACTGACAACATATTTTAACAGATATTACCACATGGGCCCAAGAACTGTTCAAAAAACCAGTCAGMAGACACAGTTTGTCACTACATCTTCAAGTGCAAGTTAAAACTCTACTTCATTGAGAAAGAATGGGAAATAACACCAACAAAGCTTCAACAGTGTCCTCAGTTCCCAAAAGCTTATTGGGTGTTGTTAAAAGGAAACGTTTGAACATTAAATATCTTGTCTTTGTTGTGTATTCAATTGAACATATATTGAAATGGATTTGCAAATAATCATATTCTGTTTTATTCATGTTTTACACAACGTCCCAACTTCACTGGAATTGGGGTTTTGCATGAGATGAATCTTATCTAACAAATACATTCATATATATCTGGAATCCCACTGGAGAGTAATGAAGAGGCAAATGATACTGCTAAACTAAGAAGGTTGCTTAGAAACAACTTCTTATTCTTGAGAAAAAGAAGTGATTTCCTTTGAGCTTGACAAGAGTTCAAAGAAGCACTTTTAGAAAGCAACTGATTTGACACTTATCTAAAAGCTACAAGCTTATTTCCTGCTCTCAAAACATTTCAGCATGCGCCTGAAACCTTATACTTGAAGTGAGGGTTTTGTGTCGTGGCCTGTCCTCATTTCTTGTGTTCTTTTTTTTTTGTGTGTGTGTGTGTGTCTGTCTTCAACATCCCTTTTGAGTTTGACTAAAAAACACAAGCACATTTTACTCCTTTATGTTCATAAATCTTTTTTTGTTGTTGCATATCTGTCTGTTATGTGTAGTATAGTAACACCCAAACTCCTGCTGTTCATCCCCTCCCCTCCATACCTTTAGACCATACCCATGGGTGCTGTTCCTTTTATGGGGATGTACCCCAACTTCACCATGGTAAGATGACTTGAGTCTAGTCCAGTAATGTTCCGAATGGACATTACCGGATACTGATGGACTATCAAGCCCCTTCGGTGTCCCCTCTCACAACCATCAGATGGTAAAACCGTTTGATCTTACTGCCTGTTTATCTCTTCATTTTGTCTATGAAAGGCTGGGGCACCAGCTCCCGGGGCGCCCATGATGCCCATGGCCAGGCCAGGCTTCCCTGCCACTGGAGCGACCCCAGGAGCTCCGGTAATAACTGTGTTTTATAAACTCTTACAAAAACATGCAAAACAAGAGTGATTGTGAAATTAGGATATGTCTGCAGATATCTCCTGGGATGGCCCAGAGCCCGAGAAAGCCTCCACCACCCAGGAACGCTCTGGATGACCTCAATATTAAGGATTTCATGTAGACCCATTAACCCCAAGGTAAACGTACTGTGTTTTTAAAAATATTCATCTATTATCCAGACAGATTTGACCCACTTTGCAACATTAGTGGAACTCACTCCACTATTAATTATGGAGCTGGATAGTCTGTTACTTTAGAAATTATTAACAACATACAATATGATTTATGTAGTAGGCTGCAGACAAGGAGTACCACCTGGACAGACAATTGTTAGTGCAGTATTAATTGCATCAATGCATGTTTTATTCATATTAAAGTGCCTGTGACGTCAAATTTTTGTAATAAATATGAATGCATATTTAGAAAGAGGACATTGATAAAATATTGCAAAAGAAATTCCATGTCGCTGAGATGAACAGTTGTTAAGATATTTGCCTGTGAAGTAACAGGAAGTGATGTCAAAGGGGAATGTCTGCATGCGAACAGAGCGTTGCTACAACAGCTAACAACCCAGACTGTAGAGAAGAATCTGACGTGTCTTTAGATTATTTTGAGTCACTATTAGAGAGAGATGAAGAAGAGTCAGAGTTCAAATGATATTGTTTCAATAAACAAAGACCAGAGTTTTCTTTGTTAAGAAGTTCGTCTTTGATGTCACTTCCTGTTTCACTTTGGCTGAGCCAAGTTCAAAAGAAAATCTGTCAGTTATGAGACAAAATGGGTTAAATCGTGTGTATTATTTAAACTTTCTTAAATACAAAGATGTTTTCTTTGACTTTTTGTATTTGAAGAAAATGCATGTCATAGGCACTTTAAAATAGTATATCAAATGTAAAGAATAAGGCCAAAAGTCTACTATGGATGCTCATAATCTGAGCCCTTCAGTCAGCACGGCAATAAAAACTGGTCTGGGTTTGTTATTGCATCACTGCAGGGACTCAGGAAGGCTTTCACAAATCATTTTCTGCAATCCAAAAACACAAGTTAAAACTTCAATTTTTAACAAATGTTACACCCCATCTAGGAGCAACCAGGATGTAACAAAAGGTGGAAAAATTCCCAACCTTTGCACCATGCAACAGCAAAAACAAAAAAAAGGAGCCACTGGGAAACTACTTGATGAAAAAAGAAAAGTGTGATTTTTATTTACAGTACTTCTGTATATACAAAACGAGCCAAGGCCAAAATAACAAACAAATAAATGTAAGTTTTACCTTCTACCTATTCAAAATTAAATAGAAATGATAAATAGACTCTTACCTTCCTAATTTACAAAAAAAAAAAAAAAAACTGGAGAAAATATATTTAAAATAAATGGCAGCTCACCCCTAAAAAACTCAAAACTCCTCACAGAACTATTTTTGTTTAAGTTACAAACAACTCAAGGCTGATGTGGCACATCAGTCAGCAGGCAGGCTGGATGGCGCAGAGGAGGGGGAAGCTCTCGACGTCATCACCGCTCAGCTAATCTTTATGCAGTTCATCCAAMGGTAGCCAATCCTCGTTCAGCTCCTGGYCTCAATCATCCAATCAYGGATGGCACCTGGAAACTCATTTACATACAAAATTATCCTAACCCTCAAAACAAAATACRAYGGCAGTCATAACACAAGGTAGCCTTGTGTGAACACGCCGCCATCTTCTCTGGGCCAAGGTTCAGTTAGTGTGGAAAAGTGGAAACAGACCTCTCACCAATTGAATMAATTTGGCACATTGTGAAATGAAAAATTCAGCGAAAGATGCCCGAGACTGCTGAGCAGATTCCCCTACAAAAATTCCAGCCATTGGTCTCCACAGTTCCTAGACATTTACAGAGCATGCTTAAAAGACGAGGGGAGGTTTTACAATGCTAAATATGGCCCTGTCCCATTTATCTCCACTTAATCTACTGCTCTTGGTGGAGAAATCACAAATTTTGAGGTATTGTTTACAAGACAGGGTAGGTAAACACAGGTAATCAATAAGTGGACTGAGACACTGGTCTGCCATGAGAGAGCCAACCTTGATCAGTGGGCATAAGCAATGGTGTATAAAGTACCACAAAGTAATGACTAGTTCTTACAGTTTTTTTAACAAATAAGAAGTACAAAGTACAGATAATTGCATGAAAATACAGTATAAGGAGTACAAGTAAAAAGTCAACTGAAAAATAATTACTTAAGTCAATAGATGACCAAATTTTCAAYTTAAGTAAAGCAACAAAGGCTTTGTATTTAGTTACTTTACACCACTGGTTRTAAGGTTTGCATTGTCAACAGGAACAAAGTCACATATAAGAAATGATCTCCTCAGAGACAGGGTGAGGAGTTCAGAGAAGGGTCACACCTACTTCACACTGAAATTAGCCAGTTGAGGTGGGCYGTCCTTCATAGGGAGGTCTTTTGACTGCGCCCAGGATGAGGTTCTGATTGGATCAGGGCAAGCTGAAGGACTTAAAGCTGGAGGCAGCAAGATTGGGAATCTAGGAAGCTGTTGCTCCTGAAACCTGGTCCCAGCTAAGCAGCAAAAGATATAATCATCTACACAGGTTTAAACGTATGATTTGCCTTGCATTCACACATTATCTTCTAACAGTGTGTCTCAATTCTTTTCTCTCCTCTGTAGGTTTGTTGTTGTGTCTGGAGCTCTGTGGATATGGATGTCTGCACCCCCCCCCCCCCCCCTTTCTCTCTGCCAACCAGCCATCATCTCTTGATCTTTTCCCCTCTAACTTCTTATCAGCCTCCCTTCCTTATCTAATGTTGTAGCACAACTGTGAATATGAACCCTAGATACAGAAAAACTGAATTTAAGTGTGTGTGAGTGTGTGTGTATTCCAGTGTTAACCTTTAATTAATATACAATGGAAAACTGAAACAAAAAAAATGATTAATGTGTATTTAGATTCATTCAGCATATCAGCTGACTTGGAACGGTGGATATATGTTGGTTTCTTTGCGCATCTCCCAGAKGAGGACTGTGTTAATAAATGTGGACTGTGTTCAATGTAACTTCACTCGCTAACTCCCACTCCTGCCTCTCTCTACCCCCAAACTAATACTGAGCTATGTTTAAATGTTATTAAAAACTTGGTTGTACTCATATTTCCTTGGTCATTCATCTTCCCACCTGTGTACTTCAGACTTTTGGAAAACAGCTAATCAGAATGCACCACAACTGAACTTGCACTGTTAACCCGGACTTCTGGAACACATCTGTGTTCAGTTTAAKTTTGACTTTTCTTATTGTTTTGGAGTTGTATGAAACATGCAAAAATTTGTGAACTGTGTTCAAATTGACATATGCATTTTAGGCTATTTTAAATCATAAATAATACATATTTTCAGTGATCTTTATTGTGAAAAAATATATATTTTTAGTTACTTTGATGTATAAAAAAAGACAAGCAAACAAAATTTCCCCTTCCTATTACTTCTCTGAAAAAAAAGGAGTGGTATTAGTGTTGCCAGAATGCGTTTTGTTGCGCCCCCTGTTGGTCGGACATGACACTGCATTATGGGATACAGCAAGAGACAAAAGTGGGATGCATTGTCTTTGTATCAATACAAACAGTGTTAATGTGAAAGACATATTAAGGTAATGGGGWTTCAACTCTTTTTTGGGTCATTTCTGTCTCTCAAGTCTTACAGACTTGCTGTAAAACACTCAAATGTACACTGGATGTTTCTCTGTGTTACTTACTTTAAAAAAGTAACTGTATCTTAATCCATTGTGGCATTAAATGGTATTAATTGTTGGAAGAAAAAAATGAGTATGACACATTAAAAGTAAATGAATGTGGAAACGTAACATTTTTTATTGATATGAAGGGTGTTTTCTTTATTTTTATTTATTTTTTGTTGTTGTTTTCTGTGATTTTTACAATGGATGGCATCGTACTTTCTCCCCACCTGCATGTGAGTCCGCAGTAGAAACAATAAAAGATGAACACACTGATGGAAACAAACCTTGTGGTTGGTCATTTTCTCCTTTTTATCCATCCATTATCTTTACCCGCTTCTTCCTTTCAGGGTCACGTGGGTCACTGGTGCCCATATCCAGCAGTCACTGCGTGAGGGGTGGGGTACACCCTGGACGGGTCGCAGGTCTATCACAGGGACACAAACAACCAATCTCATTCACACTTATGGACCATTTGAATATATCCATGTCATTATGCTATTATTATATTTTTGGTCTGTGAGTGGAAACCAAAGTGTCTGGAGCAACCGGTCAACGTATGCACAGGCAGCAAAGGCTCATGGGATTTTTCACAATTTAAAATTTGAGTATATGTGGTCTTAAGGTGTGCAAATCTATATATGGGCTGAAATCTAATCCAAATGTCTCTTGTAGTTACTTGTATTTTATATTTATTCTTAACATAATTACAATCTAGTAACGGGGACAACTGCTGGTGGGCCAAATCAAATGGCTCGGCTGGCCAATTTTGGCCCTCGGGCCCCACTTTGGGCACCTCTGTTCAATGCAAATACTTGTTCTATAAATAAACCTCAGGAGAAATTATGATTTTTAATAATCATCTTTTTCTCAGGCCTGATCTTCCTCATGAAAGCTTGCAGTATAAACAAATATTCCCAACTTAGGGAAAACCATTTGCATAGTTTGACTCAACACATAAGGATTTTTTTTTATTTGTATGGTGGTGCCACTAGTTGGTAGTGTGGCCTCACTTTTTTAAATTCATGCAARTGTCATGTTCTCTTCATGTAAGTGGATTTTCTTTCTTCACACAGTCCAAAAACACTGTCTAAATGTGTGCAAGCTTTTCTTGTCTTCATTGGTCCTGTCAGGACTGACATGTCCAGGGTGCACTCTTCTTCTTGCTTGGAGACCACCAGGCCCTGAGAAGGGTTAAGGGAACACAAAAAAATAAAACTGAACACTTTTTAGCTTGACAGCTCACATTTTCCCTATTTGTCAGAAAATGTGTATATTTTTAACAATGGCTCAGGGATACGTTGTATTAAAATGCCGCTGATTTATATCAAAAGAAAAGTTTCTCATTATTTCAGTTCATCACTGAACACAAACTTTTCTAAAACAAATATGACAAAAAAATTGCGGAAAATATATTATTATTATTATTATTATTATTATTATTATTATTATTCTGCTGTTCTGATATATGCTGTCTGAGAAATTCTTGGCTGCTGCACTGGTTCCTTTTTTTGGCAAATTGTACTGAATTTGCATGAAGAGAATACATAAAGAAGTTGATTTAGGCAGCTATTAATAAATGTTAATGCTTCAACAATGTTCCATATGTTTGTGCAAATCTTTAAAAGTTCCTCATTTTTCAGAATAGCAGCCACACCCAGCACATTTATGGTAAGGTATGGTACCCACAGGATGAAGAAGCTTGTAATGATGCTGGTAACCAGTCGAGTTGTCTGAGAATTGTTGAAAAAAAAAACTGCCTGATTTATCTTCTTATGGAGGAGAATGTATAAAACAGCCACAGTAAAAAATGAAGCAAACCCAAACACAGCCTCTGCAGTCAGTACAGCTATCTGCTGGGCATCAGAGGAATACTGAGATCCACAGGTTTGCCACTGTAGATCTGTTTTCACAAACTAAATCCTCACACTAACAAATGAAGAAAACACAAATTGTCACTAATATTGAGCCRCATGCAAGAACATGTTCGTATTCTTATCCTAAATTTCTCTTACTTTTATTCGTACGAAGGGTTTTTGCATGAGGCACATTGTCTGAGACTTTGGTCATTGATATTTCAATGTTAAAAAAAAGAAACAGATGGTTAGTCTATTTTCATTTCTTACAACAAATCCGAACAATGTAAAATGGCTAAAATTAAAAAWTTCCTTTTGAAATGAAAATATAAATTTGCAAAGAATAAGAAAATAGAAACGGGCTGTTTCATGTTGTTCCACCAGAGGGGGCGCTTGTGAGACAGATCTGTATTGTAAAATGTTTATTTCTGTTAAAGAACACAGAACTCCCCTTATTCTCCATTATGTCACAGTTCCTCCTCTCCAGTTCCTCCTGCAGGGACAGTTTCTCCTGCCAGCAGAGGTGGGCCTTTAGTAATGGGAAGAACCTGGGCTCAGTGATCTAATCAGTGCTGTACTTACCTTCTCTCTCTCTCTCTCTCTCTCTCTCTCTCTCTCTCTCTCTCTCTCTCTCTCTCTCTGCTCATCCAGGTAACTCTGTTGTCTTT